ATTGAAGAACTTTGAATGGAGACCTAGGTACTAGGTTGAGGTAAGCTCCTGGTGTTTTCAAATTTTCTTTTGTTCACAACGATTTTTTGCTTTTTGATCTAATATGCAGGATTAGTTCGATCTGCATTACAGAAGTGTGCTTATCGTCTTTTTGTATAATTTTTTTTGCTTTTTAGGCATAGAAACCGGATATCCCAAAGGGAAAAGTGACATTTTCGACGCATATTGTCTACTCTTCCATCAAGGCCAAAATGCTCCCGAAGCAGCTCGGGGTATTCGTAGGGTATACGGAGGTGTCGTAGTCCAGTCTACAGTGAGGAAATGGCTTGCAAAATTTAAAAAATGGCGTTTTTTATGTTGAAGACACACCTCGCGGCGGAAGACCTGAATTCGAAGAAGAATGTCTCTAAGAGCTTTTTGAAGATTGGAAATTGCTCGAAAGGGATGCCGCTGTCAACAAGGGCCTCTGCCAGACCAGGTACAGCAAATAGAAGACCCTATTTGACTAAAAAGAGCCCATCGACGAGGCTAAACCGTACTTCCTCACGTCAGTGCCAGACCCCATGTTGCACAAAGCAAAGCCACACTCCAGGAGCTCGAATGGGTGGTCCTTCAGCAACCACCATATCCTCCGAACCTTGCATACACAGGCCATTTTGGCATTTTTAGCCTCGATGAAGAGCAAAGAAGAGCGAGGGTCCAAAAAGCAAGGGTCCAAATTCTCTTCTCATATATTCCATTTTCTAAGCCTAAAAGCAATAAAAAAAATTGTACGGCAAGACGATTACTCAGCTTATAGGCCGAAAACAGCTCATAAATCGAGTGATATAGTATCGCACTGATCATAAAAGCGAAAAACATCGTTGTAAACACAACGAAAGAAAATATAGTAAAAACTTACGGAACTTCTTCTTCAACCCAATAAATCTATAGCCTGGAATCCTTATTGTAAATGTGGTGATAAGAAAAGCTACGGCAATCTTCCAAGCGATTTATGAGCAGTCAAAGTTTTCTGAATGCAGTCTTGTCGTCTGGACAAGTTTATCCCAAAATGGCAAGTGTTTCCCTGATAAGGGTTCCACTTCACAGCTACTATCTTCTGGGGCCATCTTCCACTCCGTATTCGGAAAGGAGAGCAGGCGGCTCCGTACTTCACCTGAACATGGTGTAGGACACGTTTCTAGCGCGATATTTCTATGAGAGACTACTTTCAACTTATCTTGAGCTGGTCGAAGACTCAACCTTGCTCATTCTCGCCAACACTGCATTTCAGTACTTGACCGCTCAGAACTTGCTTGAGAGGTTCACGTAGGACTTTTCAACTTCATATTCTAACTAATTTTTCTGGCGATCGCTGGGAGGGCTCCGTTCATGTTGAGGGAATCGCTCCGCCCACTGGTGGGCGGGTTCTCAACCACCCCGCGGCATAGAACTCACGTTGGGCAGATGTTCCTTTTTTTACATCGACTTTTTTTGCCGATCTTCAAAACTAACGAATAGAGGTTAATTGAATTGCGCATAGCGAAGCCCCCCATAGGAATTCATAACCTATTCGGTAGTGATTCTCCTAGGCACGCCCCGCCCGTTCCGGCTGTATTTCTCCCATTCAGTCTGCCAACCATTTGCTAACCTTATTCCACTTTTCCCAATCCCTGGGCTACTCTGGAAGCGAATTATGAATTTTGTCTGTCGCACCACCAACTTTCGGCGCATGCCCCGCCCACTGTGGGCGGGGCTTCGCATAGGTCATGTGTGCTTTTTATTTCTTGTCCCATGCCCTACCCATCCCCACCTTGACCCGACCTCTCCAAGTCGTTCTTCAGGTCGAACCGAATTTCCGGACAGACAAACAAACAAACAAAGCAAACAAACGCAGCAAATCATATATAGTAGAGGGTCAGCATTCCACATTTTTTTGATCTACGAAGGTATTCACTCAAAGTTCCATAAGAAGTAGAAACCAATTTGGTGTTAGTAGAGGGAACAGGTTGCAGACAGTGCGATCAGCAAACCGCAGTATCAAGTGTCATGAGCTCTGGCACTCATCACTCGACCTCCTCCTCCTCTTCGTCGACGAGACCTCCCATACCGACGACGCCGCCACCACCACTCGTTCGTTCTCATTACCGTAACACGTCGTCTTGCTATGATGCTGACAATCTCGGGAACTGTACGATATCGTGTCCAACTCACGTCGATCGTTAATAGTTATGTCGTCTACCAGTTAGATTTTGAGTAAGAAAAAACATGTTAATAGAGGCCTTGGTGATGGCGTATCGTATTAGTTCGGGTCGGCCACCAACGCCGCGCCATAGCTTCGCCTTCTCAGCTCAATCGATCGGTCGCCAATCAGCGAATGTGTTCGACCGATCAAACTCCATTCGCTGTCAATCGATTAGATTTTACTTTTGTAATTTTATCATCATCATCATTAAAATACTATTTTATACTGAACTATTTTATACTAACCAATTAAACCACTTATCTATTACGTGTGCCCCAAATTTTATCGTTTCATCTTTCGTGACCAATTCATCATGTATTCTTCGACATCTTAACCTTTTTTGGTCTGCAAAAATATGACTTCCGCTCCTATGAACTGCCCTTTTACTTGTTGTTTAATTAGCTGTTGAGTAATTAAACAAATGAATCATGGTGGTTTACTCAGAACAAAATGACCTTTATATTCCCGACGTTTCGCTAGAAAATTTTAACTGCTATCCTTATTTTCTTAAATATATTGATTCTTAACGATTAATTATGACATTTGATGTCCTGAATGATTCTCAGCAATTTCCCCTACAGAAAAAAACGGCACGATGTCCTCGCGTTGAGAACCAGTTAATTGCGAATTGATGGCTCTTTTTCTGTACTTGTCAAGCACACCTTGTCGTGGGACTTGTCGTATTATTAAAGTTTTGAGAATGTCTGGCTAATGACTGGGAGCGGTACTCTATCTTTAACTGGTTTTCTTGAGCCCTATGGAAGTCATAAGGCAGGATAATTGGTACTCGGTCTGAAATGGTAGCAGGGGTGCTATGTAGTGGAAAAATGGCGAAAAAGCGAAGTGAAACGGTCAAAAACTCTCGAAAAGCCTTCGTTTTGCACGACTCAGAAAGCAATTTCGGACGAATTTTCCGTTGGCATCGTCCCAATATCCGCTACGGTAGATACGGCTGCATGCATGTGTTCATATATCTATGCAGCACCGCAACCTCTTCATATCAATCCCTTCGCTTCATATTGTATTTCGCAGACGAAGCGATGCTAGCACCACCATCGGTCGTACTTTTGTGGGCGGTCCGGCGCGTGGGCGTTTATGTTACGGCTCGATAGGGCGCTATAAGGGCACTCTCTTGGAAAAGGCGCCCGCAGCGTTTGCCCAGAGGCGCCAAACTGTCCTTAGGAGTACTAATCCTACACTTGTCGAGGATTTATCGTTCCACTTCCCTTTGACACTTTTTTAGCCTCTGAAAGGGGCAGAGCGTTAGCGTTGTTCCTATGGCTTAAGATACCACAAGTACTGTAAAATAACAACAACAACATTGTTCACACAAGTTTGCGCCGACGGAAATATCTGAAAAAATGTCGTCATTGTTTTTTGGAGCCGGAAGCAGTGCATGAAGGATGTGTTCCATACGACATATTCCACTGGACGTATATCCCGTGAGCGCTGTTTTGTGCAAACAAATGAGCGATTGACTAGTTAAATGCGTCTAGAGTGGATTTCATCATAAGGATGACTGAAGAGTATAAAAATCTGAACGCGATGTAAGGAGTACCATCTGGTAAATAACGCTTTCCACCCTTTTTGAACCCCGTTGTTATAAGGCGAGAGTTTATGTTGTTCGGCTATTATACATATTGCTTTCATTATACATTCACTTTGAATTTTCTTGTGGTAATCTTGAGGTGCTGGTAATCCTGCCTGCCGGACGCGTTTGCGGTTGGTGGGTTGTCTGCGCCACCAAAGATAAGCTTCCGGGCATTTTGCGTGGCTATAAGCTCTCCGAATAGAGTAATTTGAAGCTCTTGTGCAGAAGATGAGCAGGGATTGTCTCCTTTTGGTGATGGGTTGTAATTATTTCCGGAATTGAGTTTGCCTTGGCTCCCGCTTGTATTAGTGAAGCTGCCATAGTATTAGGGAAGCTCCAGGTGCTAACGTATTTGGGGGGACCACGCGGCGCGCGGCGAGTGATGACTCATCGGCTCTTCACTCATCGGCATACTTGAAGCGCGATTCTAGCAGTCAAATTAAAAAACAAGGTTCACCGGGAACTTGCTGAGAAATCCCACGGAAGCCGAAAACAAATGTTTGATCCTTTGTAGTCAACAATAACAGTCAACAACAAACAGGCAACAAAATTTTGTAGTTGATTCAAAAATCTTCCAGCCCACAACTGTTTCTTCGGACTTTTTTAGCGTTACTGTATTAGATATAGCTAGGTTATTCATGCAGCTTAAACACAAAATTACTTCTACTTTGCGAGGTGGAGAGCAGCAAAGAGCAGACATGAGTCATTCGCAACGCCGTGAGCCGCGTGGTTCCCCCCCCCCCCAAATACGTTAGCACCTGCTGCACGACACGTCTTTCGATTTTGGTGGATTGTTTGCAACAACCAATCAGAAGCTTTCGGCGCACACTACGCAGTTTAAGCCGGAGCCAAGCTTTTCTGCTATCTTTGATGCCAAAGTGCCGTTCAAAATATCAGATAGATTCTGAGTATATAGAACTGTATTTCTTAGCTCTGTCAAAGCTGCGTCTTAGAAGTGACTTAAGATGATAGCTTGTTCAGATCTTCCTGTTCATGTGGTTTACCTCGCTCTTTACTGCTTGTTATTCTGATTAGATTATAAAAATTGAATTAGTATTAGGTCGTATGCACACGTTGGAGGGGAATGAGTTATGGAAGGAATGCGTTCGATGGTTAGTCGACATGGGAGTGCTCGATCATAGGATAGCAGCACCTACTAAGTGCATCGTCTGAATTCGCCACCACATGCTAAGGTAAGAACAGTGGGCGCAGTTTGGCGACGGGGTGGGCAACCGGGGGGGGAGATTTTAACTTTCGCCGCTTCACTAGTTCTTGTTCACAAATCTCACTCCGGTGAAACTTGTGTACGTTTGTAAAGTTGAAGCAAGCTCGTCAAGACTTCGTGGCTTTACCAGAGTTGGCAATTGGTCTCTTTGAACTATGGCTGGCACATGATATTCCGCGGCTTCGCAAAGATTTCACAGGTCTCCACTAGACATGTCGATGGGAAGAAACAAAGTGCGGAATGCCCCCCCCCCTGTCGCCGAACTGCGCCGGTCCTTGAACTGAACTCGTTTTTCTCACTACTTACGAACTAATGATCCCTGACTTAGTGAGCGATTGTTTTGCGAAGAAATAAGTAGGTCAGCCGGCAGTTCGTTCACACGATCGCTGTCGCTCATTAATTTCTAGTAGAAAGTGTCGGAAGAGGAATGTACTTTAACCTCGGAACCGTTGACCTCAGACTCACAAATGTTTTCTTTGGCATTTTCGTAAGAAATCCTGGTCCCATTAATCATTTCCAACCCTTTCGGAAGGATGAAAGTTGTCGATCTGGGAATGGGATAGGGTTAACATCGCAACTGACCCAGTTGTTGTATTTACGATTCCCTATTTAAAATGCTTGCAGGGATGGTGTTCTATTATGTCGTCTATTAAACGAATTATCCCCCAATTGTGTGGAGGAGAAAGAAATCCAAAGGCGACCTCATATGTCAGAAGTGAGTATTTTTCTTTAGCTCTTCGTTCCTTATTTGGTGGCCCATGAATATTCCTTGCGCAAAGACAGTCCCCACACTCAAGTAATTCGTAGGTGTCCTTGCTCGTACAAGTAGTCTGGCCCACAATCTTTAACAATAAGACTGTTCCACTTCGCGGCCTCACAGAAAGTATCGAAGGCGCTGCGGCCCTCATAAGTGGCAGTTCTGACGCCTCCCTAGTTGCCCCGCCCACCAAAACTCAAAGGCTATTTTCTGTCACGAGTTCCCTTTCTACCCCGCGTTTTCTGTTTTTTTTTCACTATTGGATGATATAAGCAATGGATGACGCGAAGAAACGATTTGTGACCTAGTGGCAGTAGTATATCGCTTTCTAGAATAGAACGAGCAGTTCCAGAGAACTCGTCCAGGGGGGGGGGCTGCCAGCTCTTTTCTTAGGGTGTTCTCCATGATTTTTTTCCTTCCCATGAGAGTGTTAGCGACGGTAGGTTTTTGATTGGACGCCACTCTCCCCAAATCGCAATGGTGGGGTTTATCTCTGAGAAGCCAGTTCAAGATGTCTATTTTCAGTTTACTTGTCATAAAAACATTTGTCTATTCCTTGGTGCCTGCAAAACTGTATTCAATTTGAAACAAGAACAAATGTTCGAAGCTTGGGAGTTGTTTCGTTTGCAAGACTTCGCAAAAGTTTTATCCGTCCTTTCTATGTTGTCCTACTCGGAGCCGGCATTGGCAAAGAACGTCAGGTATGTGAGAGTTTTGGTGGAACCGATTTTTTTCATTAATTTCTTCCCTTGAAAGTGCACTTTTTCTATCAAGAATCTTGATTTACTCGTTGCCACTCTATTCGCTACAGTTTTAAACAGTAGTTCTTTGAACATTGATTGTAAATGCGAATAATCGCGTTCATACTTCGCGGCCCTGGAGAGATTGGTGGTGCACAAAGGATTTTATAGTCCTTAACGTCCGAATAGGCGTGGCTTGTCATTGTTATGTGGATTTTGGAGCGGCGCCAGCTCGTTTTCTAACGGTGGTTGCCAGGAGCCATGACTGGAGGAGAATGAACTGGCGCCGCTCCAAAATCCACGTCACACTAACACGTCCCGTCCATTAGGTTGTTGAGGAGTATACAAGTATCGATCCGGAGAATCGGAGAGTGGGAGAACATGCGACTCGGGCGAATACCTATCAAGAGATTACGTTGGAATAGATCCACTCCGCATAGGAGCGGGGTGGAAGCATAGAAGAACGGATCCATTTCTGTCTAGCCCTTTTGCGCGCAGCCTCTTAACTCGCCCATCCGCTGATTCCCTTGTTCTCTAGATCGACAGTCAAGGTTCTTTTGTGGCGCATTCTCCGAATCACCAGGATCACAAAGTATAAACAAGGCCTGCCAGACCTGGGCGTTCCGTTGTCAACCACTGAGGCTCCCTCCTCCTTTTTTTCCTCCTTCCTTCCTCCTCTTTTCCGTTTTCCTCATTTTCTTCCCACCCAATGCTCGGTAGTAGATGCCTTGAGAAACCTCGGGACCTTCAAAGCGAAAGAATATCCGGTTAAAAGAAACCCCGTAACCATCGGCTTTCGCTCTCCATGGCCAGTTCCGCAATCACTGACATTTCTAAGGGCCTGATACTTGATCTTCTTTGTCATTTCTTTATTCTTTATCTACTTTGCATGGCTTCCCTAGCTGGTTTCCGTCACGTTACCGCAAGGATTCCACCGTTCTGTACACCTTACAGCTATATCCAGTAATAACTAGTTTTTGAGGGAATGTTGTTTGTTTAGACCATTCCCCTCCGAAATAGATGCTACATTGTCTCCTAATCTTCCTCTTCGAATACGTCCTCCTCCGGAAGAAGAAGCCATTTATCGAAGTTTACAAGATGATGTAGAAAAAGTTGACTTGGACGCTGCCATCTATGACATCTCACCATTGAAGTAGGTTGTTGCGCTATTACTATCACTACGACTATACATTTACTATTTACTGATTGATTTACCAATAGCGACAGATGTGTTGATTTTTATCTCAATTGTTCAGGAATGAGGAAGAGGAACCCCAATTCATCTATGACCATATCGTCTGTAGAAAAGATAGTCAACGGAAACATGATGTTAGTTATTTTGAGCCTTAGACTACTTGTCCAGGGACAGCGATCGGGACTGCCGTGGGGCGCTGCCGGAATACGACGTCTTTGGTGTGCCCATTCTCTTCGTGCCTCTTGTAAAGAAGGCCAGAAGAGCAGGGGCGCGCCAATGACACCGCTTCCTAGCTCCGCCCACTCGGCTGTCCTGAAGGTGCC